ATGCCACAATGCAAATTAACAATATATTAATATTTACAGCCCTTTGCAAAAATTATGAGAATTGTCTAAATATCTAAATATCATAATATCCATATCCATATATTGTCCGGAACACGCGGGTTTGCTAGAATAATTCATTGTTGACATCGAGAAAATGTTCAGAACTACGGATATGTAAGTCGCCAAAAACAAAACTAAACTACAAAGACAAGGGACTAAGGGCATCGCGCGGGATTACCCATCATGCACTTGATATTATGATATTTAGATATTTCAACAATTCTCATAATTTTTGCAAAAGGCTGTATATATCATATATTTATATATATAATTAATACATTATGCATATGTTGATTCCTATTTTTACAAAATGTTTGCAAAATGCTGTACATGATTATATTTTTGATATTGAATAAAATTATAACCTCATTTTGATTTTGTGAAATTGAACGGCTTTGATTAAAGAACGATAGGATGATGATTTTGATACTAAATTCAAAAATCAAGATAGAGTACAAACACTRAAACCGTGCAACATAAATACTGCTAAATTATGCTAACTAATTCTATTGTTTTCTATTGTTTAATTAGCACTATTTTATAGTAAATAGTTGAAAGTGTTGCACTCCTTTAGTGTTTGTACTCTATTGCACTGCAATGCATAATAATAAATTRAAATATTTACCTGATATCAGTCAAATCTAAAAACTATTGAATTTCCTAGGACTTTTTTATCTTATTTACATTCAGTCGCGAAGCAAGAACATTATGAGCTTCTTCTCCAAGTTTGAGGTAGACAGCTGTGTTTTTTCCATTGACCTGGACAATGTTCTCCCCAATAATTTTAGCCCAGATCAACCTATGGAGAAACTTTTCCAACAACTGCACAGATGTGAACTGGTTCTTTAGACACCCAAAACTTGCCAAAGTGTCATATCCATGGTCTAGCACAGATTTCTGTCGGCTACCATTGAGAATGAGTTTCAATGTATTGCAATTGAATTTGGCATTACCCAATTCCACAATCGTTTGGATAACATTGAGAGCATCAGCAGTGCCATCTGTGATGTGAAACTGTCCACGAATTGTACAATTGTCACAGCTTGATACACAATGAAAATATTCTCTATCTTCACCAAAGAATTTCATGATCATTTGATGTCTGCAATGCACGGTGTCTTCTAACATGACAATCAAATCAATGAGTGATTGACGTTGGCTTTCAAAGTTATCTGCATGTTTGGGACTGGAATAACTTATAAAGAACACTTTTGTCAGAGTARTTGTAGTATATTCTACATAGAGCACTCTCACCGTCTCGTCCAGCACGGCCACACTGTTGGTAATACTCTTCAACAGATGTGGGGATACGTGCATGTACAACATATCTCACATTGGCTTTGTCGATGCCCATTCCAAAAGAGGAATTTGCAACCAAAACATTGCTGTCTCCTGACATCCACTTCTCAAAACTGACCCGTTTCACTTCGTCTGCAAGTTTACTGTGGYATTTCACACAATCAATGTTATTTTTCCTTAGCTCTCCATGGACCTTTCCAACATCACTTGCTGTTACACAGTAGATGATACCACACATTCCTTTCCTGTCCAAGATAAACTCTGTCAAATCTTTAAAAAACTTGTTATTTGGTCCTCTTTCTTTAGCCTCCAAAGTTAGATTCTCTCTAAATATTGGCTGTCTCAAGACTATTAAGTTAGGCAGAGAGTGCCTGAATTCATTGAGTACTCTACCAGAAACTGTTGCACTCAGCAGCAATTTTGGGCACTTGTAATCAGCAACTCTTTCAAAGGCATCCTTGCATACTTGGCGAAAAGTCGTTCCCCAAGAGGAAATAGTGTGAGCCTCATCAAACACTATTCTTTCGATGTCGTTATTATCATCTAGGGTCTTTATAGTTTCGTTCAAATAAAAATGTAGAAGTTCAGGAGTACAAAAGATCAATTTATACTGAAGCAAGTTAATAGTTTGATCTTCTCTAGCTTGAATGTCGACTTCGCTCGTGTATTAACATGCCGGGATGTTCGATTCTTTCGCTCGGTCTGCCATGTCGTCAATAAGAGATTTTGTTGGTGAAACAACAACAGTTGGTTTAGATGCCAACAACGCGGGAAGCATAAACATGAGTGACTTGCCGCCTCCAGTTCCAAGAATAGCTATAACGTCTTTGCCACTCATGGTTTCAATAATTGTTTCTCGCTGCAACGGTCTAAACTCGCTGTAGCCGAAGTAAAGACGCAAAGCATCGTCGATTTGATCTCTCTCACCCACGCTTGGTTCGCCGCCATTTTGTCTTCGTATTCGTTGAGCATTCGTTGGAATTGTCGCTTCATCGGTGGTTGGAAAGCTCTCAAAGTTCTGTTCGACCAGAGAAGCTTTAACATTCCCTAAACAGAGCTTAATATGGTAGCTAAAAGTACTGTTGGACTCCAAGTCCAATAATTTACACAATACGGCGTCATCTTCGTCTCGCACCTTCCCGATAGAGGCCCAAAAATGTCCAACTTTCAAAGCACATTCATACAGAGAGCTCGCTTCTAATATTATTTCGCTACTCGTTTCTTTAAATATATTCTTAACAGCAGGATTTGAGCAAGGAATACTAAGAAGCTTTTCAAGTTCAGTGAAATAGTTGTCATCAACCGCCATTTTGAATGTGATATTACAAAAAAGTATTTGTGTCCACTCTAGTGTGGAAACATGTAGGCAACAATTTTTTTATGTTCCCACCCCACTCAAATATTTTTGGGATGCGCAAAAGATATGCGCAGATCGTCTTACAGTTGTCAAGATTCGGCAGGCATCTCTCCTTCNTCCTGCCTAAATCCTATCAAGATGGCCAAAGAAAAGGAAACCTGTTCACTGAAGTTCAAGAAGGTGCTAACATTACTGCTGAATTCTGGACGAATTGTTGAAAAGGACTGTGACAGCCTGCTGCAGCAGTACAACTTGTTTCTCGATAACATTCCAACGTTTGGTTCCCTGCAATTTTCCAACTTCAATGCTACTAAGGACAGGCTAGACATCCTTTTTCATGAATTCATGAAAGGCGATGACTACAAGCAACTATTCAGTGTTGTGAAGTTGGTATTAGTTCTATCTCACGGCCAGGCTGCAGTGGAAAGGGGTTTTAGTGTCAATAAAGAGTTGGAAGTGGAGAACATGAAGGAACAAACACTTGTTGCCAGGAGAGTTGTCTGTGATTATGTCAACAGTGTAGACRGAGTGGCTAATGTGGACATTAGTAAGCCATTATTACTTTCAGTCAAGCAGTCTAGAAAGAAGTATGAGCTCTATCTAGAACAAGAAAGAGTTCAGAAAAAGTCAGCTCAAGATCAGGCAAAGAGAAAGTCCACCCTAGAGGAAATAGAAGAGATCAAAAAGAAAAGACGAAGGCTTGATTCAGACATTAAGACACTGAATGACACAGCAGATCAGCTCCTGCTAAAGGCAGAAGATCAAGGCAATCTAAGACACTTAACTCAGGCTAACTCTTTCAGGAGGACTGCCAAGGACAAAATGGATGAACTTGTTCAAGTGAATATTTCTCTTGATGAAAAGCTAAAGAAACTGAAAGAATAATAGAAACTGAAAGAATAATAATTATTCTTTCAGTTTCTTTGAGATGTTCAAACTAAACCTCATTACGTAAAATCTAGTTACGTCTAATAAACACTTAAGAAACTAAGAAATGTTATCACACTGATAAGCATTAAGACTAAAAAAATAGTAAGTGGGTTGTATTGAAAAATTAAGTGTAAAGCTTAAAAACAGAAACATAATAAAGAATAGTTGAGTTATTTAGTCCTTGAAAATTCATATATTATCCTTGAAAAGTCCTTGAAAAGTCCTTGAATTTTTTTCTTCAAAACCTGTATGAACCATGTTTGCAGAGTTTGTAGAGAGAACATTAAGATTAGTGGTCGTTCGCAAGTGAATATCTTCCTCGATAAGAATCAAGAATTTCTCAATAATTTTCAAACTGTGACAGCTTCGAAAGTTGAAGACGTCAAAGGAAATTCTCARGTTTTGTGCCAAAAGTGCTATAGAACTGTGCTTAGACATTACAAAGTTATAGGACAATTCAAAGAAGTGGAAGAATTCAGAAGGGAATATCATAAATCCCTACAAAACTATGAATATTCTGAATTACATCGTGAGAAGAGATGTGCTAAAGACTCGCCGACAGTAGATGTAAACTTAACCAGGTCGAAGAAAAGAGCTTGTGTCATCCCCACGGCTTCGAAGTCCAGAAGAAAACTTAGCGTTCACCAGGACTCGGATTCAGATACTGAAAACCCTTTCAAAGGCTTGGATGTGAATGCTTTTCGGCAGCCGGAATCAAGAGGYCGAGCTCGTACAGAGGTGAGAAACAGGATGCGAACTCAATCGTATAGGTGGATCAAGTTTATCTTTGCTTGTTTCCTATTCAGTTCTTGAGTTTAGTCTTTGAAGTATAAATAGTTATGTTTCTGATTTTTATTAAAAATATAGTCATTATTATTTATACAGTGTTACTGCCGCTCAATCGCGCATTCAGCTAAATATCAAGCTATCGTTTTGCGCGTTTTAATAGATATGATTAATAAACTGTCTTAGGTATATCTTTGTTTCATTTATAGGTTCGCATATTTTACCCATCAGGGTTGTTTAGAAAACAAATTGAAAATGACTTAGATGTCGCGATCGTAAGGCACATAGCCGAAGAAGGCCATGGTGGACTTGCCACATGTATAAGGAAGAATTCCTCGTTAAGGGAAGAAATACTACAGAAGGTTTACTGCGACATCRACAGAGAATCTACTTCGCTTTGTAGCGACAATAACCCATCTCTTCTAAAGAAAACTGCTGCAAAGGATTTGATTCAATTTTCGGAAAATAAATGTGCCCAGGAGTTGAAAAATAGAGCGCCTACTCTGTATGGCTGCATGATCAGTTCATTGGCAAGCTCAAAACAAAGAAAAGCCAAAACCAGTGATGATATCCTTACTAGTGCAGCAGCACCTATCTCTGTGGCAGCTTCTGTACTTATGCGGCAGCGATGTCCACAGATGTCAGCACTGGCATACAGGTTTTYACTAGCTGTCTTGTGGCATAGTGGGGCGAGGAAACAGGTTCGCTTAATAGAATGATGCTGGATATGATATATAGACTGAGGATGAAAATGATTATTATTATTATTATTAAGAACAATATAATGTACAGCCTTTTGCAAAAATTATGAGAATTGTCGAAATATCTAAATAATATCGAGTGAATGCCGATGGGTAATCCCGCGCGATGCTCTTAGTCCCTTGTCTTTGTAGTTTAGTTTTTATTTGGCGACAGACTTATCCGTAGTTCTGAACATTTTCTCGATGTCAACAATGAATTATTCTAGCAAACCCGCGTGTTCCGGACAATATATGTATATGGATATTATGATATTTAGATATTTAGACAATTCTCATAATTTTTGCAAAAGGCTGTATACCATTACACGTATGTAAATATAAAATATTATTTATTACATAATGAAGAAATATATGCAATTTATAGATAATGATAATATCACTTGTGTGCTTTTTAGGGCTTTGTTCGTGCTATCAGTAAGTCATACTAGTACTCTAAGGAAGCTTGATGAAATGGGGAAAGGTTTTGACTCAGAGATAAAGAACTGGAAAAGTGATATGGAAAAACATCACTTGATTGGTGAGATGTTGGATTGTGTCCAGGAATATGTAGTTGTCCAGGAGGCCCAGAAACAGGAACAAATTCCAGAAGGGTTTTCTACAGCAAACATTGGYACTCTTGACTTTGTATTTCCTACTGCCAACACATCAGYTGAGCAGCATTCACAAGGAAGTGAATCCACCAACAGTGACTTGGARGACATGGAAGACTTTTTGGATGACTATAAGCAGTACTGTGAAGATGTTGCTAATGTGGATAATATATTAGATCATGTRGATTATTGCCCAGTATCGCATCACATTATGAAGAGTGGATATGTCGAAGAAAGTCAAAAGGCACTGTTAGACTTTGTTGCTGAAACATCTGTTCAAGACATAAGAAACATAGACAGGGTGGRTCTTAACACTTTAAAGGCCCATCACRATGACATTGAGCYTGCTAAGTACCAAATTATTGGAGACAACTTGGACATGTATGTCAAAGTGAAACACATGTCAAGTGAAAGACAAAACAAAAGTATTCACTGGTTTGCAATGAATGCAATTATGGACCGAGTATCAAAGAAGCCCCCATCCCCAAGGAGTAATAAACAGCTCAAGTCAATATTAGAAGTTCAAAATTCAGAGTTTCTCCCATCTTGTGAAGACAATATAAAGTTACTTGGTAACTTTATCCCATTATTTGCKAGAGTACTGGTTAGCAGAATTCCTGATTTTAAATGCTTTCAAGGAGCTGTCATTAAACATATTCCTCATCAATACTCAAAGGAAATGAAAAAGAAGTCAGTACAGGTGAGCTCTGCTACATGCATGAATCAAATAACCATGCAAAATGTCTTGAAATAATACAAATTCAGAATACCCTATAATTATAAATGCTGTAAAAAAATTACAATTATTTATTGCTGAATCATTTACTTAATATCAATCTTATCTTAAATTTTCAAATTTAAGGTCCCTTTAGGAATCCTTTTCAAGAATGAAAATCTTAATGACGAAATGATTGAAATCCTTGAGCATATTCATTCTGAATATGTCCCCACCCAGACAAAAGTAACAGAAAGTGGAGATCCAGTAACAGAGACTATCGGCAGTTTGTTCTTTGGGGGGGATCAGCTAACTGAAGAAAGAGGAAGAAATGCTAAAGCTGCAAGAGCTGATGGCGACACACATTTTGAAAGACTGGAGGGCATTGAGGTTAAGCACGAAGATTGGCATGCGATCCGTTTGATATACCAGGTAATTACACCAAAACATAATATTCCAATGAGAAACAGTWATRTAACAAGTCATTTTCATCAAAACACACAMAAAAGAAAACAATGAGACATTTTAAATACACCTAACTGAAAATTGTTGTGTGGTAGCAAAAAATTGAGATCACTGAAGCTAGCATTGAAGGGAAATATAAGTACAGTACAGAAATTTGAATCTTATTTGGCTAAGCATTTTCACATGGCTATAGCAATTGACTTGGCATTCTATTGCAAGAAATGCAGGAAATCTTATGGCACTGACAAACTRTCATACTCATAATATTTGCTTTCCATGCAAAGCTCCCCTTTGGTATTAGCTTTAATGATGCAACCTTTAGATGTGTTWTGAAATATAAGATCAAGAAAAAGATTAATTCAGTTGAATGAAATTATATCAAATTTTATAATATTGCAGCTGTCTTCAGTGATATTATCTACAGCCTCATTTTTGACAATTGTTATTATTCCTGTTTATTAGATTATGTATGATATTCTTTACAAGCCATCTTCTGCTAGTGATCATGGGACCATGTGCTGCAACATGAATGTTACAAACAACATAAATGCCAAGACAAACAAAGTGGAAGATAACTTTAACTACTGTAAAGACTTTGTAAGTGTAGAAACAGAAGCATACATAGTYTCAGCAATGATGGAGCACTTGGACATGAGTTGCCTAGATGATGAAGTGGTCCCAGAGTTGATTAAAACAGCATCCATCCAGGAGAAACAACAATGGTTGTATGGTCATACTAAGACTGTCCTTGAAAATCATGTTATGAAGAGACAATCTGAAGAATGCAACAAAATAGCTGTTAATGTGGACAACCTTAACAAGCCCAAACAAAGACCCGTCTATCCATGCAGTCACTGTGAGAAGACATATTTTTATAAGAAAGCCAGGGATAATCATTTAAGACACATACATAAGATAAATACCAGTGAACCAGAAGTTGAGACTCCAAAGCAAGTRAAAGAAKATGCCAAAGAAGATTATGTTTACAATTATGCCTGCGTTCGCTTGAGTTTGGGGATGCTAATTTTAAACTTCAATGATGCTGTCAAAGAAGGAGATGGTGCCAGAATAGTGAGATGCTGGAAGTACATGTTGCTCTTATTTAAAGGACATGGCCATACCAAGTATGCTTTGGCAGCTCTGCAACTCATTGCTTATACACAAGCTCTTTTAACCCCAGAAAAGGCCCACAGTCTCATATGGAATAGAACGGTCAACAACAAAGGTGGAGCTGGTAAGAACATTTCATTAGACCTACGGATGGAGCATATCATACACCTACATAAAGAGATGTTAGGAAATCTTGGAGCTAATCTTCACCAAGCACCAGCATTAAGAAGCAGTAGAGCAGTGAAGGCTGTYGAGGACATGCTCTCTTCTGTAGATGATGAACTTTCTGTTAGAWGACCATCTGGAAAGCATACCGTCACACGCTCTCAATCAGACTTTGAAGCAATTGTCAATGAGCTGCACACAAGAGCTGAGGTGTTTGTGGAGAAAGCTGAARCAGGTAGAGAACATGAAGCCTTCCCAAAATTTAAAAGAAGTGTGCTCACAAGCTTAGAATATGACAAACTGAACTCATGGYTCAACATGCACAAAAAACAGTGGGCCAAGCAAGGCTTCTAGTAATCATGATATTTAAATCAACAGTCCATATGTATTCTAATTCTAATGCCATTGCTTTCCAGTCATTTGTAAACCCTCAGGAATACATGTATTAAAGGGACACTGTCAATGGATGACATGCGCAGTAAGAGTCTCGCCTCTAACGGACTTTGAAAGTATTACCTTCGAGGTAAATCATTTTGTGGTGCTTTTGACACACTTTGGAATATTCTAGATCTGTTTACGTTTACGAGCTGATTTATGTCGCGCCARCTTGGAGTCATAAACTTGAAAACATTAGCCTAATGTTTTCAAGTCTAATGTTGTCAAGTTTACTCGCGCATGCGTGCCATTGACAGTGTCCCTTTAATCACAACCAGCAACACAGAGTGATGCATTTTAGAAATCTAAGAAACTTATCAAATCTATATTAGATATAGCAAACTTCAGTTGCTGCTAATTTTACACACAGGTCACAAATTTTGAAAACTGACTATGAAAACATACACAGACAAAGTATATGGTTGGTGATTCTATGTACAAAGAGCAATTTGTTTTGGTTCCAGTTAAAGCTAGCTATTATCATACATATTCTACTCAATAAAAATAACTTACAGCCAAACCTACTGAAGCGTTCCTATCGAGGTTGTAAGGCTCGATTTATTATTCCAAATTTGGTTCCAAATTTATATTTAAATGTGCAAAAACAAAACCGACAATGTAAATTTCAAATCTGATGTCGATTTGAACCTCGATTCCTGATTGGATTATTCCAATAATAAAACGAAGTTCATGTTGGGTAAAGCGCGGGAATGACGTTCACTCGTTCGCGGCAGTGCATTCCAAAAGTTGTTTCACGATGTCGACGATACAAGGATGGTTTCTGATGCTTCCAAACCTCTATGTCCTCCAGAATATCATATGTCAAAGCAACAGGCTGCTTACCGCTATGTCCTAACGGATTGACAGAGCCATACCGACGATAATGTTCTATGACGTTTGTTACGCACCGAAAAGTTACGCGAAGCCGTTCAGAAACTTCCGTTTTTGTGAGTCCGCCGTTAAATAATTGTATAATGTGTTGTCTTTCAGCAATCGATAAAGGTTTTCCTGGGGTGTACGGCCACTGAAGACTATTCACCGCCGCCATTTTTTTTCGAAATATGCAACGTACTGTTTATTTTTGGAATAATCCAATCAGGAATCGAGGTTCAAATCGACGTCAGATTTGAAATTTACATTGTCGGTTTTGTTTTTGCACGTTTAAATATAAATTTGAAACCAAATTTGGAATAATAAATCGAGCCTTCCAACCTCGATAGGAACGCTTCAGTAGGTTTGGCTGTAAATGTTTCTACTCATTGAAAATAGCTATTTGTATATTTTGTAGACAAATTAAAAAAACAAAATGTTCTATAAATGGCTTTTTTATGTTCAAACAAACAGAGGGATTTTATTTAAAAACAATCAAGGAATTCAATTGAAGTCAACTGTAATTGAAGTCAACAGGAATGTAATTTATTTAAAGGCACATTAAGATTAAGATTACACATGAGGTCT